TTCAATACAGTTCCTCATCTTGTGGTGACCCCCTACCATGAAGTGATTTCATTGCTACTTCATAACTGTAACTTTGTTACTGTTACGAGTTAATGCAAATAGCTGATATGCATGGTATCTGATGTGACACCCAAAGAGTCCACAGGTTGAGAATCGCTGTCCTAGAGTGACCTGGCTGAAGGTCTCCAGTCCGAAAACAGGGAGGCTGTGTTTGCAGATTCCCACTAGGACAGGTTCATCTTCCCCAAACAGCCCGCCCCGGAGTAAGAAGAGCTCTCCCTGCCTCCTATAACTCTTTCCTGGCCGAGCGCCCAGCTTAAGCTGAAGCCAGTGTGGCGTCCCCTCACTGAGTTAGTCCGGATCTCTTCTGCCTTTCACAGGCGACTCGGATCACGGAGCACAGCCTTCCAGCAGGAAGTCTGGGCTGAAGGGCTCGCCCTCATCCTCAGCATTGGAATCTTTTCATTAAAACCATCACAACTTCTGCTTTTAGCTGACAGTTCCACCAGGCATTAGTTAACAGTGTGTATGAAGGGAGGACCCCAGTTCCCAGCCTGTATATTGGGTGGCTCACAACTGCCTATAATTCCAGCTGTAGAGGCTCTGGGGCCCTCTTCTGGCCTCTGTGGGCACCTGCACTCACAGGCACAAATGCAGACACAAACACATAGTTTAAAATAAGTGTCTGGGTTGGAGAGATGGCTCGGCAGCAAAGAGCACTTGCTGCTCTTGAAGAGGTCCTGGGTTCAAGTCCAGCTCCCATAAGGAAGCTCACAACCATCTTGTCTGTAACTCCAGTTCCAGAGGATTTGATGCTCTGTTCTGACCTCAGATTCTACGTGCACATACATGCAGGCAAGAATACTCACATAAAAATATACATTTTTTAAAAACTATATACACAAAAGCAGAGGGGATGGTGGAATGCACTCCCGGGGGGGCTCTTTGCTCTGCCCATTTTTGCTTCTTGCTGTCCTTCCACCAGCCCCGGGTGATTTTGAAGTAAATCTAAGACTAACGTTTCAGCAGTGAATATTCCAATATGGATCTCCCACAGACCCACTCCTACAAATGTAGCCAGCACACCACTCAGCCTGATTGCTTTCCTGTTGCTATGATAAAACGCTCCAACAAAACAACTTTGGGAGAAAGGTTTATTCTGGCTCAAGGTTTCAGGGCCTATAGTCTGCTGTGGTAGAGAAGGCATGGTGGTAGGATCATGAGGCTAGCCCATCAGAGCATGTGATGGGCAGTCCAGAGGCAGAGGGGGAGAAGAGGACATGGAGCTGAGCTAGTATTCAAACCCGTAAGCTTTGGGGGACATTTCATGTTTAAGTCACAACACCACTATAACGTTCTCTTCCCGTCTTCACATCAGTAGTGGCACCATAGTCTTCTGAACAGGGTTTCTAAGGTTTAGTGAAGGGAGCCATGCTGCTCTTCACAGAAGGTTGTGTATTAGCTTGTCACCACTATAAGAAAATACCTGAGGCAATCTACCAAAAAGAGAGAGAAGGTTTATTTTGGCTCATGAATGAAAAGGTTTAGTCCATGGTCAACTGCCCCATTGCTTTTGGGTGGCTGCTGCTGCTGAGACAGAACATCATGGCAGGTGCAAAACCACTCACCTTGTCAGGCAGGAAGCAGAAAGAAAGGAGTAAGAGAATGGGGTTCCACAACGCTCTCAGAGGGCACACCCCAATACCTTAACAACCTTCTTCTAGGCCCCGTCTCCCAGCAGTCCACACCTCCTACAGACACAGATCCCCTCCCCCACTCTCCCACACCATACTCTAGGGACCAGGCCTCTAACATGGGCCTTCAGAGGACATTGAAGATCTGAACTGTAGCAGTGAGCATTGCCTCTGACTCAGTTCCCTCACATTCTCTCTCTTCTATCCTTCCGATTCCCCTGATCATGGATTCCAAGGCTTCCTGTTCCTGCAAGAAGTTCATTCTTTCACTTCTGTTCCCTTCTGTCCCTGTAAGAATGGCTGTGTTTTCCAAAGCCCAAGAAAACACCCAGGACAATAGCACACAATTCTCTGGCCATGGAGAGCTGATTTCCCTCCCTCCCTCTCTCCCTAGCCTCCCTCTTCCCTTTCCTCCTTCCCTCCCCCCCTTCCTTCCAATCTTCCTGAAGAAATTTCCCAGGACCCGAATTTCTAGCTTCTGACCTTGCCTTCCCTTCCCATCTGCAACACTATGCACAGTCCACAGGGGAATGGGCTAGCACCGGGCAGGGACATTCCTGGCTCTCTTTCTCACAGTGCTAACCTTTCCTGCCACTTTAGGCTCCTTGCCCTCTCTACAAATCTGAAAAACTCTCTCTTCTTTCCACTCCAGTTCAGTACCTGCTTCCTGGGGACAGGCACTTCCTAAGGGCTCAGTCACATCTAATGCCTCAGATTGACCCACTGCAGCCCAAGTTCAGAACCAGGATGCTGACGCTTCTGTGTCAGAGTTGGTGGTGCCAGGTACAACCTCCGTGAATGAGGAGGAGAACCATGAGTAAGAGTTAAGAAGGTATATTGGTCAGGGTTCTCCAGAAGGTTATCAGTTCTGCCCCTCTAGGGAACATGTGACTAAGAATGGATCTATTGATATATAGAAAATGGGTTCCCTTGAAACAGTCTGTAGTCCAGCTAATCCAACAACGGACGTCTACCAGCAAAAGGTCCAAAGCTCAGCAGATGTTTCGTCTGTGAGTCTGGATGTCTCAGCTGATCTTCAGTTATTCTGAAATCCCAGAGAAGTAGGCTCTAATCCGGTGATGGGATGGACTTGCCAGAGAGAACAAGAAAGCAAAGAGAGCAAACTGCCTTCTTTTGTCCTTATTTTGTTTGGTTTTTGAGACAGGGTTTTGCTGTGTAGCTTTGGTTGTCCTGGAACTCTCTGTAGAGTAGGCTGGCCCCGAACTCAGAGGTCCAACTGCCTCTGCCTCCCAAGCGCTGGGATTTAAGGCATGCACCACCACTGCCTGGCCTTCCATGTCCTTCATACAGTCTGCCAACAGAAAGTAGAGCTCGTACTAAAGACGGATCACCCACCTTGAAATCTGGATTAATAAATTAATTAGTCCAAATAATTAAGATAAAGCCCTTACAGGCGGGCCCAGTGGCTTGGGTTTTAGATAATTCTAGATATAGTCAAGTGGACCACCAAGGACAGTCAGCACAGTAGGTTAAACCCTGAGCCTTTCATTAGCAGTGTGGCTTTGGACATGGTGAGCAGCAGCTTAGACTAGCTGTTTCCCAGTGACGAGGCTGCTCAGTTTCCTCCCTGGATTCTACCCGCTACTGTCTGGCCCATCACTTCTAGCGCAGATTACTGCCACCACTGCCTCCCTCCCAAGTTGCATTCCTCCTCACTCTCCAGGTCCCTGGGTCAAAGAGCTACTCTTGGCTTTGATCCCGAGCCCCCTTCCTGGTTGAATCTCCCACCCTGTTTCTCTGCAGGCATTCCAATACCCTGGATGGTTTGTCCAAGGAAGACATGCTTCTCTCCATGTCTTTGCAAGCAGCCAAAACCTCCCCTGTCTTGCCACTACACAGCCTAGACATTGCTTCCTTGAGAGAGCCCTCCTAGGTCTGGAGACAGGCGGGGTTAGGGTGGTGCTCATGTCTTCATCCCCTGCATGTTCGTGTCTCATTTCAGAATCCCCGTGTCTCCTAAGCCTGGGGTTTTGCAGAACCCTCTGGTACCACAAGGGAAGCACTGGCTCCACAGTGACAAGACTTGTTTTCCCTACAGCTGCTGAGTCCCCCAGTTCCCCTGGAGAAGATCTAGCTTGGAGCCCAGGCTGTGACAGACACATGGCTGTGCAAAGCCGGTTAGACATTATGGAAGAGGTAAGGAGCACACAGCAGGAAGAGACCGAGATGCTTCATGGCCATAGGCCAGGATGGAAGCTTTGTGGAATACAAATCTCAGAAAACCCAGGCCAGTCCTGTACCCCAGCTGCCAAGCTAACGACTCCGTGCTCTAACTGGGATGTTCAGTTGGGTAATGTCTTATACACCTTACCTCCTAGGAGGCGTTGCTTGCACACAGAGTGAAATTTTTCCCTAGTTGGGTATACTGTTTGGTTTAGTGCGTCAACTTGACATGAGCTAGAGTCATCAGAGACGAAGGAGCTTCAGTTGAGAAAATGTCTCTATGAGATCCAGCTATAAGGCATTTTTTTTCTCAATTAGTGATTAATGGGAAATGGTCCAGCCCATTGTGGGTGGTGGCATTCTTGGTCTGATGGTCCTGGGTTCTATAAGAAAGCAGGCTAAGCAAGCCACGGGAGCAAGCCAGTAAGCAGCACTCCTTCATGGCCCCTGCATCAGCTCCTGCCTCTCTGGGTTCCTGCCCTGCTTTAGTTCCTGTCCTGACTTCCTTTTGATGGTGAACAGCAATGTGGAAGTATAAACAGAATAATCCTTTTCCTCCCCAACTTGCTTTTTTGGCCATGGTGTTTCATTGCAGTGATAGAAACCCTAAGTCATCGGAGGAAGGGAGAAATTCAACCATCAAAGTTTGTGATGAATCATAATTTAGGGTCCATACCTTTGTGTTGGGCAAAGTTTTATCTCCATTGCTGAAAACCCTTTGTTTTGCTTTTTGAGACAGGGATGTTCTGGAACTTACTCTGTAGACCAGGCTGGCCTCTTTCTCCCTCTTTCTCTCTTTCGTTCTCTCTCTCTCTCTCTCTCTCTCTCTCTCTCTCTCTCTCTCTCTCTCTCTCTCTCTCTCTTTCTTTCTTTCTTTCTCTTAGACAAGGTTTCTGTGTACCCAGCTGTCCTGAAACATGATCTGTAGATCAGGCTGGCCTCAAACTCAGAGATCCTCTTCCCTCAGTCTCCCAGTGCTAGGATTAAGGTGTGTGCCACCACTGCCCGGCCCCCAGGACTTTCAAAGCAGAAAGAGAGAACTGATTCCTGCAGATTGTTCTCTGACCTTTCCACACACTCCCAGTGGTGTGAGTGTGCCTCCCTACCCCAGACACACACACAAATGGACAGCTCCTAAGGTAGACTTTTGAGTTTCTCGCCCCCTACCCTGAAGACAATAATAATAATGTTTGATACAGTCTTTCTCTGTATCCCAAGCTAGTCTGAAATTTGTGGTGATCCTCCTGTCTCAATATTTCGAGCTTACAGACATCAACCACTAAAGTAATGTATAGTTTTAATATTCGAATGCTATTGCAATGTACTTGATATCCTTATTTTTTATTTTAAGCATGAACGCACTGTTCTGACACGAGGCCTCTAGGCTTTATTAGGTTGCCAGCAGGATCTGACACACCCCTTTAAGCAACCTCTAGGAACAAACTTTAAAATCACAAATCTGCCACAAGGGGGCGGTGCAACAAAAAGAATGTGTACTCTTATAGCCTACTCCCAAACAAAAAGATGCTCAGGAGGGAGTCCCTGTGCCAAGCCTGGCACCTTTTGAGGGCCAGACAGGAGGATCCTTAAAAGGGCAAAGAGAGCAAGCAGCCTGTGATGCTTTCACCTGGGGAAACTGAGCAGAGATCAGGTGAGAGCCAGGATTGGACAGCACCCAGCTTCCCCTCCACTGGACACTGGGACTTGGGGCACAGTGGACTTTCTTTAGGACATCACTAAGCTAAGCTAAAGTTGGCCCAACTTCTGTGCTTGACTTTGCCCCACCCTCCCCTCCCACTCCAGACCGTGGAGAAGACGGTGGAGCACCTGGAGGCGGAAGTGACAAGCCTGCTGGGCCTGCTGGAGGAACTGGCTCCAAACTTACCCCCAGGGCCCTTCAGCCCCAAACCTGACCTGCTTGGAGATGGTGAGTGGCTCAGATGGCAGAGGGATGTCTGCTGGGCCTGTTATCTAGGGTCCCTGGCAGCAGAATGCACAGGGTATGTTATGCCGTCCTAGGGGCAGAGTGCCTCAGTCTTCAAGTATTCTGGCTTCTGTGCTCTTCCGTCTCTTCTCCCCAGCCCCTGGCAGCCGGGGTCCTGACACCCTACTGATCCTACTGATGCTCAGTTCATCCCCAGCTCCTTATGTCCTGCTGTCCCAAGAAAGCAGAAAGCTGGAAAGAAGCAGTCGCTGAGCACAGCAAGGACAAGGGGCTCCTTCAGCATCCTCTGCTGCTCACCTAGGGAACCCGTTTTCCTTGCAGATGGCTTCTGACTACCAGGGATGGTGGAGCTGGCCAGCTGAAGTCATCCCTCTGAGAACCAAGCCAGCTCTTCCTGCTTTCCTGCCCCGCTTTGGTGTGAAATAAAAGCTACTATTTGGACCCGTTTGCTAGCCATGACCTTGGCTATCCCAGCTCCAGCTCCTCCTGTCTTACACCCTGAACCCCACATTGCTGTTCTAGCACTCAGACGTGGGTAACCTATGCAAGGGGACTTCCAACTTTCTTATTTATAGAGATAGACCCTGGAAACTGACTCACAGACTCACTGACACCAGAGGCCTAGAGTGGTAACTGCACACAGAAGCCCCTTTATGCAGCCTTGCTGCCCAGGCCACAAAACAGCAGTCACTGCCACCCAGGAGACTGTCAGAAACACAAGATCCAACTTACCCCATCAGAATCTCTGCCTTCATGTGATTCCCTGCCCTGCCCCACTGGTGGTGAGGAGTTGTGTGTGCAAGAAGAATCCTGTTGCCTGGTTGTGAATCTAGAGATGTACTTCCAGCTTCTTTTTAAAAAATTTATCTATCTATCTATCTATCTATCTATCTATCTATCTATCTGCTAATATGCAACGTATCATAACATATATCACATGTGATGCATATGCTGAAGAATATATATATACATACATATATACACATATACATACACACACACACACACACACACATATATATATATATATACATACATACATACATACATACATACATACATACATACATACATTAGTAAACTAAGTTCTTATTACATAAAATTCACTCAGGGAAATGATGCACCCTGTAGACCAAGCTGGGATTAAAGGTACACACCCAGCAAAACTTACCATTTTAACCTGCACAAATTCTGTGGTTAGATTCTAGTGTGTCTGGAGTCATCACCATTCTTTCCAGGACATTTTCAACACCCTAGAAAGAACTCTGGGCCTATACAGGAGTCACTTCCCTTCCACCTCTCCCACACCAACACTCTAGCAGCTGTGTGTCTTCCTAGACTTGCCTATGGTGGGCAGCTTCTGTGAATGGAACCATGAGTCCTTTTGTATCAGGCTTTCACTGGACAAGTCTCAAAGTTCATCCACGTTTCAGCGCCTCACTCCTCCATATGTGCAAAATGATGTTTTAGTGCATCAATGGACCACACCCATCGGTGCAATACGGCTGTCAGCGTAATCCACAGCAGCGGTGTCAGCGAAATCCACAGCAGCGGTGTTTAGCTCACAGTTGCTTTATTACTCCAGAGTGTCCTCCATCCTCCCATGGTCGGGGAGATGTGAGGGTTGGCAGCTCACTTGAGGCCCCTCTGGGGTTCTGGACAGGGCCCATGAGGCTAGAGAGGCACTTGTCTCTCTAGCGTGTCATTGTCCGAAGCTTTCTAACACAGCAGGAGTGATGGGAGACCTCTGGCCTGCAAGCCAAGCTCTATGCTCTTGGACATGTATCCCTCTCTAGACACCAAGGGGCAGGGAACCTGCAGGGCCAGAGACAAGAGTGCCCTTCTGATGGGAAGTCCCACAGTAGCACCTCCCTGGGTTGTTCCCTTCCTCCTCACTAGTATCCCTGAGAGGTCACCCCAGAAACCACATGAACACCCCACACCCCTCTGCCCTTTCCCAGGACCTAGGTGAGCGCACTCAGGGAAACCTATCCTATCACCTCTGCATCTGGCTCCTGTCCTGTGCCTCATCCTGGGCCCTGTGTGAATCTGGAGGGCATCTTTTGTATATCCTCAAAACACAGTCCCTGGCAGGTAGCTTGTGCTTGCGATTTCCACAGCATATGATAGATGTTTCTAGTTCAGCATATCCATTTTCCACTGGCTAACAGGGCTGGGATCTGTGAGTCATAAAGCGGAAGAAAACACGCTGGCACCAGAAAGACATTTCCAGAATGTTCCAGAACTGGCTGACTTTAATTTGGAAACAGCTTTTGGCTACAGACATTCAGGTTTAAGGCACATTCCAAACTACAAGGAGGTCTGTCATTGGCAGGGGACTGGCTTTAATTCTTGCATGGCTTTGCATGGAAAGTGGAACAAATTATTTTCTGGCCTTTTTCTAAAAAGGAGTGAGTTTGGCAAAAACAAAACTCATGACACATTCTCACCAGACACCACCAGGTACCCTTACAAGACCTCATTTTTATCCTAGGCAAGGACGGGGTGCCCCACTCCTCCCCAGAAACATGTATACAGTAAGCACACTTATATGCATCTGTCTGCCAATGATGGTTTAAAAAAAGTTTTCAAATAAAAATACAAAAATCACATGTCTACCACGAAGCTAAAAGTCTTAGCCACAAGCAACGAGGAATGAGTGCAGGAACTGAGAGAGATAAACATCTATTCTGCACAGTAAGAGCTGTGAGGGCCAGGGAGATGGCCGCCTGAGAACCCCAGCCCACCCGGGCCCTTTCGACACAATACGTGGATGAGGGGGGACCAGAAGGAAAAGACCATGGCTTTAGGGGTAGGAGGGAGGGGAACTGCACCTGGGGGTATTAGATAGGGAAAACTGAAGTGTGTGCTCTTTGGGCCTTTTCCCGGCCAATGCCAGCAGGGGGCAGAGATGAGCCACTGCCACCACTCAGTCATTGCCACCACAGATCTTCAGTAGAATCTTCCGATAGTCCCCAGAAGTGTCTCCCTGGTTGCAGAAACAAGAGCAAGGGTTAAGGGAAGCAAGGCCCCGAGTGTCCTTGTGGGGAGGCAGGTCTGTCAGAGGCAAGAGCTCCCACTCAGAGCATGCAATGCAGACCTCCCCTGTACAAGCGCTGTCCAGCAGCCCCCAGATTCTATGTAAAATGAAAGCCAAAAGCCAGACAGCATGGCATGTTTGTAACCCAGCACTGGGAAGGTGAAGCCAGGCAGATCCCTGGGGTTGGTAGGCCACTCTAGCCTAATCAGTAAGCCTTAGGTCCCATCGAGAGACTCTCTTAAAAATCAACATGGATAGCTTCTGAGGAATGACACTCAATGTTGATGCTGGCCTCCACAGGCATATGTATGCATACGAGCATGTATACACACATACATGCATACATACATACATACACACATGCATACATACATGTATACAGTATAAGGACCTCCACCCAGGGCTGATCAACTGCCTAGAGCAGTTACACTGAGTTCTACTGTAAAGCAATGCTGTGCTCTTCCTTGAAAGCAGCATTTTTGTGGCCACCCACGGAGGACACCATTGCCACCGCAGCCTCCGCTTCTCCACAGATCAATCTCTGTCTGACATCACTGTGCTTTCTCCAGGAGGACTGCTCAGGCTTAGCTAACTTCAGATCACTTTCTGACACCCTAAGCCTTTTGAAGCTCTCTGAGGACAAGGTCTGTGGCTTCTTTAGCTGTCACAGAATACTAGCGATGCAGGCCAAGCTCTGACAGTAAAGACAGAGTCTCTGCTACACACAGCCTCATTTCATAGCTTGGGAGTGGGGAATCTTCTCTTCAAAGATGAGCCAAACAAGTCTGAAATGAGGCCCTGCAATGTTTGCTGGTGACTCAGTGTCAACTCCTGCCACTCCAGCTCTGGCACACGGTGTTTCCTCCAGCATTTGTGTAGACTGCTACCACACCGGTGGTGGAGCTCCTATTACCTTCAAAGATGCTGGCCCAGTGCTTGGAAGGTTTGCAGACACTGCTCAAGGTCACAAGGTTACTAAGCAGAAAAACCAGGATGACACTCGCAGGCTGGGACCCCAAGACTGAGCTATGGATGTGGTCGCCACTATAAAGTGAATGTGGAAAAAGCTAAAACTCAGGAAGCAAGAGCTGAGCTCCACAGACCCTTGGGCAATGAGCTCTCCTTCTTGGTGGATCACTTTGCCTGAGATAGGGGAAGGCCTGAGATTTCTTTATACCATTGGTGGGCATTCCTGTTAAGTTACTAAGCACTGGGATCCTGGAGGGTGGGAACACAGGGTTGTGACCTGGCCTGTCCTCAGGATCTTGTGATCAGTTTGGAGGCGAGTAGATGAAGAAGCTGTTCTAGAGGGAAGGGAGATGGGAAGGGCCTGGAGGTATTGAGATGTTAGAGAAGGCCTTATCGGCCCCTAATCCCTTACCGTGATATCGTGGTACAGCGACTTGCCGTACATCCGCTTATACTCCGCTCGGATATCCAGCAGGTCAAGCTCGCTGCGAGACACCATGATGCGAATGAGGGTCCGGTCTTTTGTTCCTGCTCCCTAAAAAGTCACCCAAAGTATGTGCATGGGGCTTCCCACCGGCCCCAACCCTCCCGTACCTTCTACACACAGCCCACAGTGGCTCCCTTAGACCCAGGAGTCTTTACGATGTCCTGAATTAGGGCCCCCTGCACACAAGAGCTCCGTACCCTCATAGCCTTGTTGAGCCTTTCAGCAAAGAATGCCGGGGTGTTCTTGAGGCATTTCACTGCAAGAGAAACACAGCATAAGGTCTGTAGGACACAGGAGGGCACACACGACCTCAGGTCCTCCTACGAAGCCTGGACATCAAATCTGCCACCAACCATCTTCTTCCTTTCCTGCTGACTGCGATCCCATGAATGTGGCTCCACACACAGTAGGACCACCAGCCCAACCATCACTGAGCAAAAACCAGGAGGGCTGTACATAGCCTGGGGGTGTGAAGAGGCGCCAACTTCATGGATATCGTGAGGGCCGTGAGGGGGCAAACAGAAAAGCCCTCACGGAGAAAGGGAGGCCACGGGGTGTGATGTCATGCTTGGGCCATGCAGAGAAATGAGGATCTATTTATTTCCTGTTCTAGCCAGAAAAATCTACAAAAAACTAAAAGAAATGGGCAAAGTGATGTCCCTCGGCAAGTCTAAAGGGAGGTGGTGGGGGCGCAGAGCAAGAACCCAGCTCCATATTAGGAGGAGGTTCCGAGAGCTGCCAAGACTTGCTGTGGAGGGCATGCTGCTGTAAGAGGCACACCCCGTGCTGGAAGCTCAGCCAGCTCTCTCTAGAATGGGCCTGTTTTGCTGTTGCAAGTAAAAATTCTTCCATGTGTTTCCATCACAGACAGCTGACAATTGCCTACAGGGATGTATTTTTAGAGGAAACTTGGCAGGATGTGAGTCACCTTCCTCTAGGAGAGCAGCTGGATGGGCTCCCACTAATGCCCAGATCCCAGCTCCTTTCTGCAGAGCTGCACTGCAGACAGACAACAAGAGCCACGGAGCCCACCAGCCAGATGGTCCAGATGAGCAAGCTCAGAACTTGTGCTTCTCTCACTACACCACCTTCAACCGCAGGACACTGAGCACCCAGCTTGCAACCCACACTGCCCAGTGGGTGGGCAGGCAGGCAGGCAAGCCCCAGCCAGACACCTACCCACAGCCAGCATGCCCTGCTCCAGGTCCCCAGACATCTCCCGGCAGATGCTCTTCTCAATGTCTCGGCCCGTCATCCTCTGATACTCATTGAAAACTAGCAAGAAAATAGAAGGGGCATGACAGGCTTGATCATGTTCTCTCAAATCTCCATGTTGTAGGCCCGACCCTCAGCAACTTGGAATATGTGTTAAAATAATGGCATGATAGTGGGCCCTGAGCCAGTGAGCTAACCAGTGGCATCTACAAACAGGAGGTCAGGACACACGTGTGCGGACTGACAAATCTTGGCCTGCAATGGGTCTTTTGCCATAGGGTCTTTTGTCTTGCTCTTCATACAGAAGTACAGCTCTTTTCAAACCCCACTGAGTATTCATCACTTAATATCAACAAGGCTCTACTGTATGTCACGCTGGGCTGAACCATACTTTCATGACATTAGGCATAATAAATTCATCTTTGATTTTTTTTTTTTTTGCATGTAATGGAGTCACATCCTATAACCCTCTGGCTTCCATGGATCTCAGCCTCTCATGTGGCCAGGACTACAGATTTGTGTCATTACCTAGCTTTAAGTGTATTTTTGACTTACAACATCTTCAAATGGGTTTGTTGGATAGCATCTCGTCATAAAACTGAGGAACATCTGTCTAGGAAGAGACTACACAAACACAGGAATGAGGAGGCTCATCCACAGAGAGAAAGAGAGGCCTCACAAGAAACTAATCCTGGCAAGCTTATGAGTGTCCAAAACTCTTGAGAAAACACATTCCTGTTGCTTAAGCCCAGTCCATGAGGAGACACACCCTGAAGAGTCCGGCCTCTTTTCCACTCCGCCCTGCACAGCCCGCAGTCAGATGATCCCTTTATCAGAGCGGTCAGTCAGCTAACCGATCTCAGCCCACACTCACAGTGTCCTCCTCCAGTCTCCACATTCCCAGCCTGGGCCCCTCTTATTTCATGAAGCAGGCTCACCTTGCTCGGCCGCACTGTGAGCCTCGTGAGCTCTACCCCACTCAGGCACAACCCCACGTTGTTCTGCTGTGCTGAAAGCCTTTAATTATAAACCCAGGAACTGCCGAGTGCCACAGAACAAGCTGGTGGCTCCTAGGGGAAGGAACCTGAGTCTAGTGCTAACATCAGCATCGATTTCTCCTCCTACCCCTGCCTCAGTTTCAATCAACTATTTCCCGATTTGGGTCTTCTGCATACCAGGGCTGTGGCTTCTACTTATCTGATATTTTCTGAACATTTCTTCACTTTTCTCCCATGTGATAACGCTCTGAAACCCGATAGTGACCTAAATGTTCTATACTCATTAAAACAAATGAAGATAAATCCCTATCACAAGTGTTCAGCGTGTATTGAATAAGAGACTGGAGTGCCCAGCCCTCACGGGAAATCTGTATCACACTCCTCCTCCCCAGGCTCTGGGATCACTGCAGGAGAGAAGGCAGAGGAGCCAACGTGGGGGAGGACTGCAGCGGATATTTACCAGGCATGACAGGGCCACTGGACAGATGAACTCACAGTGGCTGTGCCGCCATGCACAAGACCTGTACAAGATCAAGCCAAAAAGCCTAGCCCAGACAGAGGACAGAGAGGGGCTCATGAAGCCCCAACCCTAGCTCGGAGGAGCCATTAGCAAGTGATAGATGGATGCTAGAGTCAGTTTTCTTTAACAATGTGGTCCCTGAGAAGCTACTTACACCAGTAGCTGGCATTGCATCAGCATATAGACTGGAAATAATTCAGTGGTATAGGACAGGGAGAGAGGTGGGGGAAAGGGAGAAGGGGAGGGGGAAAGGAAAATGGAGAGAGAGAGAGAGAGAGAGAGAGAGAGAGAGAGAGAGAGAGAATATGAACGAGAACATAACAGCTGGATATGGTGGCACATGCCTTTAATCTCAGCCCTCAGGAAGCAGAGGCAGGCAGATCACTGAGTTTGAGGCTAGCCTGCTCTACACAGCCAGTTACAACCTAGCCAAAGTTACCTAGTAGGACCCTGTCTCAAAAAGCAAACAAGCAAAACAACAACAAAAAGAGCACACATAGTTGGGGGGTAAAGTGGAGAGTATGGGGAGGGGATGGGGGGGTCAACTAGATCAAAACACATTATATGAACACGTGAAATTCTCAAACAGCAAAAATGATGAGTGCATGTTCATGCACATTTTACTGCAGCAGTCAAGAGGTTAAAAAGCATGTTCTGGGGACAGGGCTCAAGCCCAAACTCAGCCAGGTTCATAGTAGCTATGCCAGCCTCATGCCAGTCCTGAGACGGAGGGAATACCGTCTCCCTCCCGAGTGCCTGAGTCCTGGGTCATGAGCAGCAATGCTATGATCCTCGCCTCCCTTCTACCCTGCAGCGCCGACAGCCTTTCCAAGCTGTCTACACTCTGTTCTGATCCCTCACCTGTCTGCCCACAGGGGCCTTCGGACACAGGTGACCATGGCTTCCCTTTCTCCAGGCCCTCCCAGCTAACCGGCTACTCTGTATATTCCTACAATAGTTCAGGGCCCCGCCTTCAAACTGCTGCTTTTTCTCTGGTTCCCCCAAGAAGATCTATTATAGCCCCAAGACCTCAGACACCTGATCCCTCACAGCTCCCAAACATCCAAGCCCAAAACCTCTCCTGACATCCAGACTCGTCAGCACAATTATCTTTCTGATGCCTCTGCTCCCCATGTCTAGCCCATCCATAGCTCCTAACCTCAGTTGAGAGCCGCCATTTTTCCACTCCCTCAACTAATAGAACTCCTCTGTCTTCCTAGGCCCTCTCTCTCCAACACACCATGTCCAGCTTCTCAGCGAGCAGGCTGAATTCTGGTCCCTTCTCCTGAACTCCCCATCCAGGCTTCCACCAACTCCCCCTAGGTCACTGCATGGCTTTCCACCCGAGCAACTCAACTGCAGACCATTCACCCTCCCTGCATCACACGGGGCCCAGGTGCCCCGGGGAATCTGGGTGGCAAGCCACTCTGCAAGCTGAAGGAAGGAGAGATACTCCACTGAGGGCTCTCCTGCTGCTTCTGAGGTCTCTCAGGATGAACACCTAACCCTACACTGTCAGCAGAGCTGTCCACGACCTCTGACCCGTCCTCTTGCTGCTCCAACTCTATCTGCTGCAGATACCTGCATCCCCTTGGCTATCCCTGGGCCATGGCAGCAGGGCCTTTGCACCTGTTCTTTCAGGGCTTTTGATCACACAGTCTTCTACCACAGGACTGCCCCAGCCCCTCCCCCAACTCTATTCCATCACCTTCTACCCATTTTCCATATGTTCACCACCAGCTCCAGATGGTACTGCCTAGCTGTCTCCTGACAGGAAGCTGAAGCCCCATGAAAACAGACCACACCTCTCCACAACCTGACGGACAGAAACCCACTTTCATGTATTCAAATAAGCTAAGCAAATGTTCCCCAGCACTGCTGGGATGTTTCCTCTTTTCTTTTTGTTTTTATTTGTTGCTATTGGGTACATGCCATGTATAGAGAGATCAGAGGCTGACTGTTTTTGCCTGCTGGACCATGGCTCCCCACTCTGACACCCCTTATTTCAGTGCATGGGACTCCATTTCCTTGCCTTTTCCTTGCAGACACCACTAGGGGGCTCCTGAGGATGTGAAGGTCCATGCAGAGGACCTCAGCCAAATATCCTGCCAGCTTTTTCTCAGCACAATGTCCTGTCTGCTCTCCTGTAACTGACCCAGAGCTGTCTTACCTGCCACCAGGTGGGCCCGGCTCCGGGAGCACAGGATCGCGTTGAACTTGGACTCGTCTGTCCCCAAGCGGTTCTCCCCAGCTGCATACAGCTCCTGGATGAGAAGGAAGACGCACGTGTATAGCAAGCATCATAAAGGTCCCAGGCTCAGATCACCCAGGCAGCATCTGTAAAGCCCACAAGGGGAGGAGCAGAGTCCTGGCAGTGGGACCAGTTTGCTGAACCCTGTCGGCTCGCTCACTGCAGACCCAGACCCCAGCAATTCACACCCCTTCATCTGTCTGTGCAAAGCACAGAGGATGCAGCCCGCATCCAGCACCACAGAGGAGGAAAGCTAAGAGGGACCCACTCCTCAGGGGCAGCACTTCTCAGTGGTGAGACAGAGGAACACAGGTCCTCGGCTAATAGACCCACATTTCAATTGCCGGACTGAAGCCAGCTGCCAGATTTCTATGTGGAATCTCCTAACCATGGAAAGCAGCGTCTCCGTCTATAAGAAGCATGTGTGACAATGACGATCATACTCAGTTACAGGGATGAAGCAGTGACTCCCACACGGCACACACACGGCTCACAGACACACGTGCAGGCAAAACACTCAGACACATAAAATAAATCTTGAAAACTAATCCCCAGATGTGGGGCCTCATCAGCCATACATACATCATTATGCTTGCTGAACAGCAAAACAGCTTGTTAAAACCTATGAAGGCTTGAGCCCCAAATATTTGCCAATCTGCAGGCTTGCCCCAGACCTCTAAGATGTCTCCCAGGCCTCAGATAGTCATGGAAATTAAGGACACTGATGCCCTAGGACACTCTCAGGTTGAGATTCCTCAGGTCAAGGTGAGACTGAGCACATCAGGAAGGGAGGAGAAGGCAGAGCCAAAATCAGATTTCTCCTGGAAGACTCGGGGAGATCTGGCCATCTTATTAAGAAGGTAGGGCAGTCTCAACTAGCCAGCAGGCAATACAAACTTATACAGCTAGGAGTTCAGATGCCTGGATTGCCTCCCCCTGTCTGCAATTCATAGGGTGACAAGGGCAGAAATGTAAGGATGCAGAGCTATGGATGGCTCATTTCTAGGCCCACAAACTCAGAAGCTGGATAGACAGGCACCTTTGCACACCTAACGGTACCTGTGTGGGAAAGCACCACATCCCATCAAGTCCCATGTCCTTGTGATCTTTAACGGCTGCAGCATTTATTACCCACAGGTGGGAAACCCAGAAAACTGGGAGCCCTGCTCAATGTCAAGTCCCCGAGACCCTCAGAAACCTGCAGCACCCAGAACCCACCAATAACCGCGGCTCTCTCCATTTCCGGGCACCTAGTCACAATGCAGGAAGCGTGACCCGCACTGGCTCAGCTAGCCCACACTGGCCCCTCGACAGCCACCAGACTCACCTGGACATCTCTCTGGACAAGGGACATGTCCACGTTTGTGCTCTCATCACGGTTTCCCTGAAAGAAGAGGGCATAAGGCCAAGCCGCTCTTTGGAAGACCCTCCCCCTCCTCACTCATTTGTCAGTGCTTTGATCCCCCAGCCCTGCTCCCTGCCCACCCAAGCCTCCCCCTCCAATTCCCTCTGTAATATCCTGTGGTGAGGAGGGTACCTGAGAGAGAGAGATGAGGAGCCTCTGGAAGTGTCCTGATGTGTCACTCCGAATGGCCTCCTCCAGAGTCTTTTTGAACTCTGAAAAGACAGACACCAGGGTCTATCCTACAGGCCTGTTACCTCTAAAGACATAATTTGTAGGGGGCATTGGCATGACAAGGGTCTGGGGGCTCAGACTAGAGGAGAGAGGTGACCCATGTAAAATTTTCCAGGCTCATACAAGCTGTGACTCCAGGGTGACCTGACCTGTGGTCAGACCTGGCCCAAATCCACTCAAGATTTTCTCAGCCCCTTCCAACCACGGGCACCTGCCCTGTGTGTAAACAGCAGGTAGGGCTGGGCCTTGGGTCAAAGCCCTGGGAATTGGGTGTGACAGGAAACAGGGGACAAGAAGGCCAAGGACAAGGGGGTGTGGCCAGGGCGCTTCAGACCTGTTTTGTAGGCCCTGTTTAGCTCCCGGATGTGTTCGTTACTTCGGGAAGCGAGGATCTCAATCAGGCAGGCCTCATCGGTACCAGCCCCCTACGATGGCAGAGAAAGAACATAGCTCATGCTGGTGGCCGGGCTCTCATTCACACCCAGGAAGGACCGAAGGTGCCACACGCACACACCACTCATGCCTCAAAAGCCAGCTCCCCTTCTAGCCCCAGACAATGAGTAGGTATCACATGAGGGTCACCACGGACCAGGAAACTGAATGGTGTGTGGACATGTGTATGTGTGCAGTGACAGTCCAATGGCCACACTGAAGTGCAGCTCAACATCTGTTTCTTCCAAGTTCAAGTTCTAAGTGAGATAACAAAGACACGGGGAGTGGGGAAAGCCCAAAAGCACCATCACAGCAGACAGAAAAAAGCGAGAGTCCTGAGTGAACTGTCTGGAGATATCCAGGAAAAGAAGCCAGGAAAGAGGAACGGAATGGTTGTGCCCGGGATAGAAGGTAGAAAGTAGGATCAGAGGAGGCCTGGCTTTTATATCAGGCTGAATCTTGGCTCTGCAGCTTACTATGTGACCTCAGGCAAGGTGCTTGACTTTTTGTGCCAAGTTTCTTGGCTATAAAGGGAGTGTATAGGCACCTACCTCCTAAGGAGTCCTTAACGGGACTAAATGAGCTAATTTGTACAGAATATCTAGCTGACATGATGTTTTTATGCTTACCACTGCCTGCATGCTACCAGTAGCTTACTGGGGCTTACAAAGGATGTACATGTTAGCACCTTACCCAAAATTCCCTGTGTGTCCTGAAAGAACACTGTCTCCACTCATGGATATTGCGGTACGCAAAAGCAATTCAGCACAGCTAGCCCCTTGCCTGTTGTGTTTGAGCAGTCCACCAACTTCTCATGCTGGAGGTGGGTACTAACCACTCCTGGGCTCAGGCCATCGCCATCCTGTCCTCTCTTACCATCCTCTAGACTCTAACAGGCAGCTGGGTTTCAGCCAGTCTCTTTCCTTTCCAGACCACGCACAACTCTCAGCCTCCAGTGGAGGTAGAATCTGTGGCCAGCATGCCTCTGAGTGAGTGGTTCTTTTGGAGTATCTGACTAAAGAGGGACCCTCTATACTCAGATACACAGCCACGTGGCTATAGAGCCCAGACAGGACTTGCTTCATGGTCAAAATCAAACTAGACCTAGGAAGAGCTAAGCTGCAGGAACTGGCCCTGTGTGGAATTCAGTTCTTCTAGAGCTGGATGTCTGGTTTGGGAACACAGAAGCGGGGACAGACATCTCTAGATACAGCGTAGGACAGACATGGCAGACAGGAGTGAGGTGGGTGCTCAGGAAGCTCAGGTAAGACTTCTGTCTTTCACTGTCTTTGTTCTAACCCTATCTCCTCCACCCTCACCTGGGTCCTGCCTCTCCTGCTCGGGCTCCTCAGACATATTGCTGCTATTTGCTAATAAGGGTCCTGGAACAGCCTGGGACCCCTTCTCATCACCAATGTCCTCCACAACCCTAACCTGGTCATTTCTTCAGATGGAGACATAGGCATTTCCTGTGAGGAAGTGTTTCTTGCATCTTGGAGAAATGACCAGTTGCTTCTTATAACACTCACGGGTTATAGCCAGGAACACACTGAAGTTAGGCTAGGTAGCAACTGTTAAGTGGGTAACACATCGCTCAGCCCTCCTCTGCCTGGGATGTAGCTTTGCACACATGTAAAGGCAGGCTCACACAAGCACAGTGACCCACCTTGATAGCCTCCTTTATCTCATAGACATCAAACAGGACCGGGGTCTTCATCAGGGCTAGAATAGTCTTCTCAAAGTTTCCCGACAGTTCTGATTTTAGGTCTTTGATCAAATCCTGATTGGATGGTTAAACAAACAAAAGCTTGTTTTGAAAATGCACAGATGAAGAGAGATGCAGATGATGGTAACAAGACCAGCCATGGGGAGGAGCCTGAGCCAGACAACTAACATATTCAGTATTTATGTACCAGAAGCTCAAAACATAGTCCCCTTAAGCCTTTTCCTCCAAAGCATTTACATCAGCTAAACCTCCCAGGATGCCCCAAAAGCAGAGGAGGGGAAAGTGAGGCCAGGTAGGGAAGAAGTGATGTATCCACAGGCTTGTCTAGGCAGGACCAATGATAGAATGTGAACCAACCCTAACTAAGCTCATTTTCCATTCTGGAGAGCCAGCCTTACGAGGCCCCAGTTTATGGAAAACCAGAGCCAGTGGGGCTGTAGCTGTGCTGGTGTAGACCCTGGAGCTCACTGTGGGAGAACCAGGGCTCACTGGTCTTCCTGCCTTCCCTCTCAGCACCTCACCTTGCCATAGGCTGTCTTGAAGGACAGGAGGATCTGCTGCCGCTGCTTGTTGGACCGGCTTCCTAGGCAGTCGATGATGGCCTGTTCATCCGTTCCTAGGAGAGAGGACGGGGTGAGCACTCTATGGGTCATGAAGATGCTCTGTGGCCATGGACTCTCCTAGCCTAGGGCCTCCCATTCATTCTCCTGGGCATCTAACACAGCTCCTCCCCCATCTCCCAGGGACCAGGCTTACCTGCCCCTCCTACACAGTGACCTGTACAGGGAACTAGGGGCAAGGGTGGGACTGGAGTCAGACAGGTCTCTCACCAAAGCCCTTCATAGCCTTCCGAAGGACCTCAGCATCTCGCAAGGGGTCAAATCCAGAAGCATCAGTGATGGTACCTCGGTTTCCAAACTAATCAGACAAATAGCCACAGGTAAGATGACCCACCCATATCACTCCAAGGTGTAAGACTCTTCCACCTCCTCCCCCCAAATACTCCCTTTCTCTAAGTGGTAAGGTACCTAAAGGAGCTGGAAATCAAAAGCACTGGACATAAACAGCCTCATGTGTAAATGGTGGTGTTTGGGAAGTAGCTGCTGGAAGAATATCAGGTCTCTAGAAGCAGAGCAGGTTCTTGAAGGGGAATATTGGGCTCACGCCCCTCCATTATTTGCTTCCTGTGTGCTATGCGGTAGACAGCTTTGGTTCACCTAAGCTCCCTGTCCCAATGTTCTGCCTCACCACAGGCCCACAGTCACAAGGCCAAGAAGCCATCGATGGATCCTAATCAACCTTCCTCCTTTTTAAGGTGTGTTCCCCTTGGGTGTTTACAAGAGGCTAGTGCATGCTGGTTATCAAGACAATAAGGGGTGTGATCAGAGAAGAGCAACAGTGGGCAGCCACTCAGGGTGAGGAGGAGAGGGCAGCACTGCAGCAGAATGAAAGCAAGGAGGTGATGGACCCTCTAAAATAGTCTAAAAATAGCCAGCCAGCGCATACCACTAGCCCTGTGCTTGGCTGGTTTGGCTGTGTAACCATGACAATGAATTCTAGGCATTGCAAACTCGAACTGATCTCCAGAATGAGCCAAAATAAGGCCTGGAGGAGCTGCCAATCTTCCCTACCAGAGAGGATTCTGAGACTCCTTCACGTTTGTCTAGGAAGGCACATAAGGAGCCCACTGGGCATGAGGCCACATGGCTGGAGGCCTCGGGAGTAATCTCATGTGAAGATCAACCCAGGGCCACGCTTCCAGACCTTAAGGAGTATGCCTAGGGTGGGGCACACAAGAGAAATTATAGCTTTTTTGCCACAACAGTATGTTGTAGCTGGTGGCCTGAACCTTCCCTGTTCCTTCAATCCCCCAAGGCCTTATGGCTGGGCCAAAGACCTGTTTTTTAACTTAGTTTGGACGAGCACTCACCTGGGCTGGAGGCACAGCAGGGGTGATGGTACTGGATCCTGAGTATCCTGGGTAACTTGGCACTGGCTGCTGCCCAGGGGGTGGCATTGGTGACTGCCCAGGATAGGTCATTGGAGGCTGTCCGGGATAGGCCCCTGGGGGCTGCTGCCCAGGGGGTGGCATGGGCTGGCCTGGCACAGGGGCCCCTGGGTATGGTGGATATGAGGGCATCCCAGGAGCCGGGTTTCCTCCTGGGGGTGGATACATTCCATAAGGAGGGACAGGCTGCTGAGCAGGAGGGGGCTGCCCAAAGCCACCAGGGGGGACTGGAGGATAGCCACCCCCAGGAGCCCCAGGATACAGATTTGGCACGTTGGCTCCTCCAAATGTCCCAGACATGTTGGCTGCCTGCCAAGTACACAAAGCAGAGCCTGAGACACATAGGCCGAGAAAGACCAGCACCCTGTCTGTCTACCCTCCCCTTATGGAGTTCTGCAATGGCTCCAGGCAAGAAGCCTCCTACAGAACCCCACCTCCCACCTAGTACTATGTATGCCTAGCAACGGATGCAGACACCACAATGCTAGGCTCAGAATTGCCTCCACCTCACTATGGGACAAGAAGGACAATCTGGCCAGGGATGACAGTACATTTGCTCAGTGTGAGCAAGGCAGCTGGGCTCTGACATGGGCTCTATATGTGAACCAGAACCTCTATCTGTCCCTTCTGCAAGAAGCATAGAAACTTGAAAGAAGAGGCTACTTCTTCCAACCAAGACCCACTAACTAGGTAGAGCTAACCACTCAAAGACCCTGAAAGTACAGGGGTTCCTTCTAAAGGCATGAAGTGGCCCTGTCACACCAGTCTGCTAACAGTCAGTCGAGGTGAGGTAGGTGAGGAGGCTTGGCTAGGTTTGCACATGCCCAGAACAAAAGCCTGAATCCTCATCTCAGCCTCTTATGCCCAATGAGAAATGGGTCCCAACATCTTCATCCCTCCCCCTACCTATCCCTCATGTCCCCTCTTCAACCACCAAGACCTCCTCACTGTCCCTAAGGTCACCAGGCCCATGGGCACCTCAAGGACTGGCCGTCTCTAGAAATTTGCATAGCATGTTTCGCTACCATGTCAGATCTTTGTTGGAGGGTTCACGGTTTCTCTGTGTAGCCCTGCCTGTTCTGGAAGTTGCTCTGTAGACCAGGCTGCCCTTGAACTCCCAAGTGCTGGGATTAATTAAAGGTGTGCACCACTACCACCCGGCTCAGGGTCCCTTTCCAATCCCCACCTTAAGGTTCTGAATCTACATTACTGCACTGGCACCCCTGAGATTTCCTGCAGCATTACTATCCAGTCTATCCCTCTGTCCTGTGCTGGGGCTCGAGTTTACAGCCTCACACATTCTAGGTAAGCATTCTACTACCAGCACATCCCTGTTCTCTGCTTCTTTTTTTCCTTCTTTTCTTTTCTACTTTTTACTTTAAGACAATGTCTATTTGACCAGGCAGGCCTTGAACCCACAGCATAGCCCAAACAGGTCATGGACTTGGGATCCTCCTGCTTCAGCTTTCCAAGATGTCAAGGTCAGAGGCCTATACCACCAGGGCCATGTATCTACTTTCCTATATCCTTGCTCTTCTCTCCCTCTCTCACCCACTCTCTGACCTTCCTTTAAAGACTGGGTCTCTCTATGTTGCCCAGGCTGAGCTGGAAATCTTCAGTCCTCATGAATTCACCTACCAAACGCTAACCATTTGCCAAATGCCCAAAATGCCTGCCCCTGTTCAAAATTACCATCTGGTAACTTATGTTACGTCCTGTCTCCTCGTCACAGATGCTAAGTGTGCCTGAACTGAGATTCATATGTGTGCAGGTGCACATGGAGGCAGAAGGCCACCTTTGTTGGCACAGCATTTATCACTAGTCGGCAAGCCCAATAGATCTGCCAGTCTCTGCCTCCCTAGTACTGGGATTACATGGACCACACCTGCCTTTGTACACATGGGTCCTGGGAACTGCACCCTGGGCCTAATGCTGGTATAATAAGCACTTTAGACCTGGGCTACCTCTCCAGCCCAGGGATTTTGTTTGCTGCATTCACATATTCCCAGTGCCTAGAACTAGGCCTTGGCATAAATGTGGGCACCTACTAGTTGCAGTGTTCCTCCTAAACACACATTTGTTTTCAGATTATAAAAGAGCATCCTTTAAAAAGCAAAACAATAAGCAAGAACGAGTACATCCTAACCTACCTGCTACATGGCCACCAAGTACCCATCAGAACAGCTTTGTATGAGTTCACCCCAACTGCTCTCCACACATACGCTCACCTCCCTGCAGGTTTCACGCTCAGCTCACAGAAATTCTCAATAAACTTCCCTGCAGGCACCAGCCTAACCCAATCCTCTTGGGCTACAAGGATCTGAGAGACCATCAGTGCCAAGAATCTCTTTCCCTAATACAGATGGGGAAATGAGAGCCCAGAGCAGGGTGGGTGTTAAGTAAATGACCCTCATATTCTAAGTTGCTGCTCAGCATTCTATGCTCACAGGATCAGGCATGAGGTCTTGCTGGGGACTCGGGGTAAGCAGCCTTGATCCCTATAGCCCTGCAGCTACTAGCCCAGGGGTACCTTGGCAGGGGCCTGACTCACCATGCCTGAGAGGTAGTCCTGGTTGAACTGCCCTGCATAGTTGGCCACGTTATCCAGCCCAATAGGGGGCATGCTGGGAGGAGGGTAGCCAGCACCTCCCCAGGGACCGCCACCTGAAAGCAACGCCAAGCCATCAGCTCTGTATCCCTGGCCCAGTGACAGGGCAGAAATGTGGGCTGCAGAGGGACTGCTGTGATAACCAAGCAGAGTATCAAGCCAATGTTATAAAGACCCAGAAAGACTGCAACAAGAGGGTCAGGGAAAAAAGCAGAGGAGCCTTTCCCTTATTCCGGAGAAGAAAGCAGGTTCAGCCCCTGTGGGGATTCAGGCATGCTTTGTCTTCACAAACCCAGCATCATTGGGTTAGAGAACAGATCCATCCTTAGCTCTGTGCTGAGCTGAGCATTTGACAGCCATGAGCTCCAGGAATGCTAAGGATTCTCGGATGGAGAGGATTGGAGCCGTGTCAGAAGGCAGGGACACTGTAAAGAACAGACTAAGGGGCTGGTTGGGAGATCCCATGGCTGGCTGCGTGTCCTGGGGCTCTTAACTACTCTCATTCATGTGACCTCAAGCTGCTGAGGTAAGGGCTGAGGAGTGGACACGTGATGTCACAGATGGCAGAGTTTCTGTTGGAGAGGGGACTGAGGTCACTGCTGCCAGGTCAGAGAAAGGCCTGGCTTGGCTCAATGTGCCCTGTGACAGGGCTAAGGTACTCCCCTGTTCCATTTGTTCAGCTCTGCTGGATTCCCTCAATGGTAACTATCCTTGCAGCGGCCCTTGTCTCCTTACCCAGACGCCCTCACGGTTCCCTCACTACTGTGGAAGACAAATGTTTTCAGGAAACATTTCAGGGCAGGGCAGGGCAGGGCAGGGCAGGGCAGGGCAGGGCAGGGCAGGGCAGGGCAGGGCAGGGCAGGTGAGTCTTCAGAAGGAAGATAAGCTGGGCCACTGCCCCATTTGGGTAGTCTCACCCCATCATCAGAGAACCCTAAAAGCCACAGGAAGGGGATACAGAAAAGGACATCGACCCTTGGTACTGGCCTCAGTGGGAGAGACCCTGATGCTGCAAAATCCAAAACCATACTCCTTGAAACAGGGTTGGTGTGTTAGTGACAACACTTTGGAGGACACTTCTGTAGGTTGTCACTTTCCCAGGGGAGGGAAAGGACCTTGAAGCTATTTTGCCAAGCAGAAAGAGTCTCAAAGTAGAGGAGGCCTATCCAGGCCCGTCCAGCCCCCAGTCCTTTTAACACAAAGGGTCCCTCTGGGTTCTCTTACCTGGAGCACCTGGAGGGTAGCCACCAGCAGGTGGTGGGTAGCCTGGGTAGCTCATGGGTAGAGCTGGAAAAGAAGAAAGAGTGCATTCAGATTATATTGAGGGAGCTCCTGACCAGGCCTGCTGAAATCTGCTTTTTGGGAACAGAGTCTAAGGCCAGGCCCCTATAGAAGGGATTAGCTTCCAATGACCCAGTCCACAGCTCTCTGCTGGACCTCCAGGTAGGACAGGCCCACTCCAAGGCTACAGAAGGATGCAACAGCATACACCAGCTGCCCCATTCCTTGACAGCTGCTCCCCCAGGCCTGCCTGGCTTCTGTCTCCACCGACAAGAATACAGTGTCTGGGGGTCTGGTTTGTTCTGCTCGCTGACATCATATTTTAGGTAGAGCATCGCCCAAGACTCAGAGTCTACTTGTCCTTATCATTATCCTTCCCACGACCATATAGGACCCTACTTCCCTGCATCCCATCTACAACCCTCAAGCTCACCACACCACCACCCCAACCCCTCTTGGGTTAGACCCTAGGTGCAAACATAGACTGGCTGTCACAGTCTGGAATGGCTGGTCTGTGTCTCTCCTGGGCATTCTACTAACATAAAATAACCTGATTATTGTAGGAGTCATCATTCTTGGAAACAAAGAGATTTCCTCAAAAGGGCCTGGCTGCTACAGAGCCCTGAATCAGGGCAGGTACCAAAGCCCGAAGAAAGTAAGAGTTACGTGGAAACGAGGCTGCAAGGGAGAGAACGAGCCCAGGGAAGCAGATAGGACACCTGCTCTCACCGTCCTCTGTACACGAGTCGTCAGCAATGTACCATGTCAATTAAAATGCCCCAGAGGAACAAAGGTCAGCCACTGCCCTGCAACCTGCCTGTTCTTGCACATAACAGCTACTGGTGCTGCTGCTTCTATAACAAGCACAAAGGTGCAGGCCCAGGCCATGATGAGAAATGCATGGTCAACAGTCATGCCCACAGGTTCCAGGACAGCCACTGTTTTACACATGGGCATTATTTATGCCAGGGGACTGTTAAAACATCAAGGGCTCCACCTTTGTTGGGTTCCTATTCTGAACAAGTTCTCAGGTCACGGTATTGGATCTGGGGTTCCTCATTTTAATAACTACTGGCTAGACAGTATCCATCTAAAATATTCTAGTAGTCCATTGTGTCTACCACGAAGAACTGAGAATGCTGTCTTAGGAAGCTGCAGAACTTCCTTAAGGCATTAGTGGTCCCACAAAGGGAACCTGACTTTCACCCCACTTGCTTTAGTCTCTGAGTAGAGAGAGAGGACCGTGGGCAATACAATGGGAATGGCCTTGGAGGGAGTGAGGCCTGGGGGCCTACAGACCCTCGCCCTTCACACAGCCGGCTTTCAGAACTCCTATACATGTGTAGTTCCTAACACGTATGTCCACCCACGACTGCCTGTAACTCCAGCTCCAGGGGGATCCTGACACCTTTTGGCCTCCATGAATACCAGTGTGTGTGTGTGTCACACACACAAATAAAAATAAATCTTTTTGTTTTGAAAGAAAAGAGGCAGAAACATACAAAGAGGTGTGAGGGTGTACACACGCACAGACCACCCTTGGCACTGTACACAAGTTACTAGGTAACACCAGTCGCCTCTGGAAGGAAAACAGGCTGGAGGTGATGCTTGCTTTCCATGTATAGACATGACATACACGATTGCCTAGTAAAAGCAACTTTAAGAAAAGGTCCAATTCAGACAGGCACTTCTAGCCACACACGAAGCTACCCCTTTCCATCCCACACGGCCTTGGTGAACCTTCCAAAATAAAAATAACACACACAGGGTTCATTCAGCTCAGTCAGCCGGGACACCGGAGGATAGCCCTCCCTTCTGGGAGAGCTGTGGCGGAGTTTCCTGGCTAAAGTAGCACCCAGCTCCTGGAAAGAGCCCTGCCAAGGCCATTCCACTGTGGACTCATCCTGTGGTGACCTTGGGTCCTTCCTCCCACTGGACTCAGCTTCTAGCCTCACCCTCTCGTTCATTTTTGCACTAATTTCTACCTGGAATTGTTGGAGTCTGTTTCCTCTTCTCTTTCTTTCTTGAGGCCTGCCAGGACCCAAAGCACAGGCTAGCCTAGAGATCACAGGGTAGGAGGGTCACTTCCCTCTTCCCTCAGATCGAGCTTCCTGCTCTACTGCACCAGAACTTGGTTTTCTGGGTAATAGGCCATTATAGGGACTCCTCTTGTAGGTGGGTCTGCACAGTTTTCCATCCCTCCTCAGTCTCTGGCTCTGGTGACTCACTGTGACCCTCTTGGTTCTCTCAGCTATTCCATAACACCGATTTGGTGTGCACAGCATCACATTCTTTCAAGTAACTGATAGGAATCGGAAGTGTCCCCTTCATAATCTGAACGTCTGTTCTCAAGATAGTGTGATATTTTGGAAGGCCGTAGAGACTCAGGAGGACAGGCTGAAGGCACTAAGCCAACAGGGGTGGCCCTTAGAAGGTCAGCTCCATGAAGGTCCCTGTCCTGCCTTTTTTCCACTCCCCAGTCCATAGGGATGTGAAGAGCCTCGGCATCCAATGCCAATACTGCCGTGCCTTCTCCACCATGACAGCCTGCACATCCCCCCTCTTACATTCTCGGTCAGATATTATACTCACTGGGACCCAGAGGTAATTAACCCACATGTGCAATACCCTCCAGCTAACCACCTACAACTCCCAGGGCAAGAATCACCAGCTGAGCAGCAAGACCTTCTGGCTCTCGGCACCTCCCAAGGGAGCTGAATGAGAACATCTAGGGACTTCACCCTTCCTAGTTCTCGCACTCTGTGACAAATGGGACAACACGGTGAGCTACTACACAATAGACCGGCTTGCCACCTTCCACCTGACCAAAGCCTTCCTTCTTTATCCTTCAACAGAGAAGAAAGGTACATGGGTGAGTGATAATTCCCAAGGCTAACGTGATTGGGACAGCCAGGCATATCCTGTCCCATATGCTTCCTTCTGGCATTCAAACTTGGGACCTCATGGGAGAGTCCACCTGCATAGGACAGACATCTGGCTCTAATTCTGATAACCCTGCCTCTAGAGACCTTCTAGCTTCTGACTCTGACTCTCTCAGGAACACTACAGCACAAACGTTGCCCTTCCTTCCTCACTGGGACCATGTAAATGCAACTGTGCAGATTCAAACAGCTGTGGCCCTCTCCATGTGTCTTAGGGTTTCTATTGCTGTAATAAAAACATGACCAGCCGGGCAGTGGTGGCTCACACCTTTAATCCCAGCACTTGGGGGGCAGAGGCAGGCGGATCTCTTGAGTTCGAGAGTTTGAGGCCAGCCTGGTCTACAGAGTGAGTTCCAGGACAGCCAGGGCTACACAGAGAAACCCTGTCTCGAAAAAACCAAAAACCAACCAACCAAACAAACAAAAACATGACCAAAAACAACTTGGGGAGGAAAGGGGTTGACTTCAGCTTACACTTCGGTATCATTGTTCATCATTAAAGAAGTCAGGACAGGGACTCAAGCAGGGAAGACAGCTGGAGGCAGGAGCTGACGCAGAGGCCATGGAAGGGTGCTGCTTACTGTCTTGCTTCCCATGGCTTGCTCAGCCAGCTTTCTTAGAGAACCCAGGCCCACCAGCCCAGGAATGGCACCACACACAATAGGCTGGGCCCTCCCCCATCAGTCACTGATTAAGAAAACGCCCCACAGGCTTGCCTCAGCCCAGTCTTATGGAAGGATTTTCTCAAGTGAGGTTCCCTTCTCTCTGATGATTCTAGCTTGTGTCAAGCCGAAGTAGAACTAGCCAGGGCGCCGTGCTTCCATAAAAGTCCCTTGTGGAGAACGTTAAAACCCAGACTGCTGGGCCTGGATGTGTGGGACCGCTCCTCCGTACAAGAGCACCACATGAAGACCTTGTACTCTGGCATCCCAACATCCTTTAGAACTAAGCCTCAGGGTATCCAGTCAATACAGAACCCACCTGGGGGACTTTTGGAGTAGGAGAGGGTTTGGGCTGTCAGGGGCTTTGGGGAGTCTTGGGGGTTCAATAATAAAGACACAGACCCTGTATAGTATTAAGGCTGTTAGCCTGTTTGCTGGGGTGGTCTCTTAGCCTTCAGGGTACCTAGAAGTGGGAGGGTGTGATAGGCCACTTTTGCTTCAGATCTCCATCGAATCATACTAGTGTGGGAAGCACACGGCTTTCGACCGGCAAGGGGAGATGGCTGAGTCTGGGGGAGAGGACTTAGACTTGGATTCTGGAAGCTTTTGCCTTTTGTTCTATCTCTAAATTTCTGCCTATGTGGTAGGGACCCTTGAAATTTAAGGTTCACTGGCTTTAGGGAATAAGCCTGTTGGGGTAACCTACCCCACACATGCTGCATCAACTGGCTATGAAAGTGTATCCCGGTATTCTCAATTGTATTTGTCCTGAGCAGACTTTTTCTTTTTCTTTTTTTTCTTCCTTCCTTCCTTCCTTCCTTCCTTCCTTCCTTCCTTCCTTCCTTCCTTCCTTCCTTCCTTCTTTCTTTCTTTCTTTCTTTCTTTCTTTCTTTCTTTCTTTCTTTCTTTCTTTCTTTCTTGAGACAGAGCTTCTCTGTATAGCCCTAGCTGTCCCGGAACTCTGTAGACCAGAGTAACCTCTGCCTCCCAAGTGCTGGGACTAAAGGCGTGTAGTACCACACCCTGCCTAGTCCCAGTTTTCTTAATTACTTAATTGCTATGAGGGCATCTCCTGGTGCTGGCAGTAAATGTTTGGCACTTCCTTACCAGCCCAAAGTGAGGATTCTCAGTGATTATCATGTTAATAAGCAAGCTGTCATTCCTGCTGCTGATTGGCTCAGAGTGAGTAAACTTAGAACCTCTCCCACTACACTAATAGCTTTTTTGTACAAGAAAGGATTGTGGCTTTTGATAACAGAAGCACTGGCAGCAGGTGCTGGGGAAGAACCACCTGGCCTTTCTACAAAGGGATGGTAGCCGAACAAAAGCAGGGCAGGGACAGGGGAGGAGCTAGACGGGTGGCTGAGGTACAGGTCCAAAAGGAGCCTCGCAGAGAGAAGGT